ATTGACTATGCTTAAAATGATAAGATGAAGCACGGAGCCTGTTGGCGATGTCCCGACCGGTTTCGGCCCTGCCGCCAGTTGAAAGGCCATCATCAGGGGACTTGAAAAAGCGCATGTGGACGGGATCAATTCCAGGGATTTTATACTTCCTGCTTGTGTACTCACGGGGCATCGAGAATCATCTCGAGTCACAACCACAACTCGGACGTTTACTTCTACGCGCCATCCTTGGTAACTCGTTTTTACGTGGGCGGGAGAAACTGCTCAACAGGATTACATGTTCAAATCATAGGGGAGACTAAGTGATCCGAGTCTTGGTGAGGGAGCGGCATTAGAGATATGACAGGGAAAAAGACAGAGGACATGATCAGAGAACAATGGGCGGGAAAAAGGACTTGGGCGGGAAGCTGCACCGATGAGCGTCATGAGGAGAGTATCAGAAAAACGAGCTGTAAAAAATACGTCACCAGATTATGACAAAGATATCGCCTGTAGAAGGAGATGAAAACTAGCGTGCGTTGATCATCAGACAAAGGAGACACGTTTGGAGGAGGGAAGCGGGAAGATGTGGCGGCTGGCATATGAGGGAAATGAATCAGGCAGACAGTCGTGCAGTATACAGCCAAACGGACAGAAAACCAGAAAAAACACAAAAAAAAGGGGAACAGAATAGACAAAAGGACCAAAAAAGCAAAATCAAAGAAAATCAGAAGATGCAGACCCTGCAAGCCACCGCGGCAAAGAAAAACAGACCCCACGGCCCTACTTGCGAAGACACCACGGTCCTACTTGCGAAGATACAGGTTTGATATCTGCAGTCTCGACTGTTGATCATCCCTTCTACTACGGTCGCACGATATCCAGCTTTTTGACCCTAGTCTAAACCAAGTTAAAAAATGGCGACCCAGTCATCCAGTAACCCCTTATTTTCACGGGAAATCTCTCGTACCCCTTAGAAAAACCAAAACCTTGGAAATCCCTTCAAACGTAGCTCTCTTCTTAATCCCAACAACGTAGCACCCACTCCCCAATGATATGAGGAGTGGGTCACGACCCTATGTAGATGGCATTTAACTCACGCTTTCTTGTATTGTACCGGGCCGAAGAACTAGAAGTCCTGGGTAGATCGAATTCTGAGGGGATTCTCAGTCCACATTGTTGCCTGGTTCTTCATCATGGCGACACACTTTACACCTGGAGGGTCTACAAAGAAGATGAGAGAACAGCCTTGGAAGTCCCATTTTCCACTTTCGTCGTCAGTCCGGACTAGGGACAAATTAGCATCATATGAGTTGCGGAATAGCCGCAGCAGGTTTCCATTTTTCTCCAGCCATACACTACTTTTTGCTGGGAGGACCAAAAAAATGCTAATGTCATCTATGAGGCGGATCCCGGTGAGATAGCGGGAATCAGTTTCAATAGTTCTTAGGAAGTGAAACTCATTGTAGGAGCATAGCAAGCATGCCAAGGCCGGGCTCGAGCATTTACCCATTGGGATGGCCATTACTTGTTTAATCGTTCTATCTGCTATTCTTGCGTATGTATGTGCAAGGTCAAAATTCACGAAATCCAAGATCATAGTGAATCTCACTGATACTCAGCCGGACTCGCCAAAACTTCTTGCAAAACTGGCCCCTTTGCCCCTTTTATTCATTCGCACACAATCTTTTTCTTCACTCAAAAATGTGTCACACACCCACTCCACAACTCTAGAGATAGATGGATGGGGAAGTTTTGTGAACATCTCCTTTATATCAAAGCTGGCGGCTAGAAGACATCCATCTTTACGATGAGACACCTGCCTATCAATCTCCATTATCCTACCTTTCAGCAGGGATGTGGATTTGAGGTTGAAATGAGACCAAGACGACAGACTCCAGAGAAGAAAATTGATGGCCCTGACGATAATCTTACAGACTCTCACGCTTGGTTCCGCAAAAGAGGGCGAAATAGGGCACTACCTAGAAGTATCTTTGTGCTTAGGAATATCATAACAGTACCCAAGATGACCTTTGTCATCCCAAGGAGCCAGCTTGCAGGCTCCTATGTTCATGTACTTTTTTTTGCACAAACTTAATATAGCGTCTTCTTCCATGTCGACCACAACGAAGCCTGAATTATCCCAGAACAAACAAGAAAGTACCTGATAGATATACCTCGGCAGCACACCAAGGAATCTCCAACGTTGTGATCTATGGGGCAGACTACCAAGTCTGCCAGTTTCCTTTTCCACTCAGTCAGAGAGACGTTACTAGAGTCAGCCTTAGTCAGCCGTTCACCGAAACAGAGTGTCACTTCGCGGTTAGTGAGTCGACTGGATCCTGGACAACTAGTAGTACCTGTTTCAATAGCCCTTCTAATGGAGCCCATTGAGACCGGTCTTTATAAAGGAAGGGAGTTCTTTGAGTTGATCATACAACTGGGTAATTATGAGAATTCTGTAAATCGAAAGAAAACGTGCCCATCATTTTTCCTAGGCAGGATCGAGTCGCAGGTAGAACAATTGCAATAAAAAACGTTGTTTTGGACATGCGCCTATGGTTGTGCAAGTGGCTACCAACAGTTTTTTGGCCGGTCCACACAAATCTCAGTTGAGAGATCATGAAGTCAGCAACACATTGGGGTTCACACCGCCTTGGAATCTCCTTTTTTGCTACATTGATGACCTCCCGTCGAATCACGTTTTCAGAAAAAATAGATGTTATTGTGATGTTCGTCGGACATCTAAAACCACATTTCAATTTCAGGACCCTACCATCAACAACTTTCAAAATTGCTCTGGTCCTTCCATTTCCAAGCGATTCAATGCAATTATATAAAGTAATTGGTGTTTTGATTTCAAAGTTGTAGAGCATCTTTCTCGTCTGAGGCATCTGCAACAACGATAGTAAGACAAACTTTCTCTGTTGCGATAGACTCTTCGATAGCCTTATATGTAATATCTTGAACGTACCCCCTTTCCTGAAAATCGACCTGGCATCTTTCAGAAACAGCCTTCGGTCACCATGCTCTATTATCGACCAACCCAGCCGCTTCTTCAAACGCCCCCAACCTTCGTAGAAATAAACCCACCCCCTGTCCTGATAGTGGCAGAAAAACAATCAGAGCTGGCGGCATTTTCTAAGGTTATGCCCAGAGAGAACGTAAAGGATGACTTGTCAGAGAATAGAGAGCTCCCAACCGAGACTTCCCAGGCCAAAAGATGATTGTTACTGGTCGTGGCAGGTTTGCAGACGCCGTGCTTCCTTTCGAAAGTCCTTCTCTCTCTCCTCCCCTTCCTTCGTATACAGTGTCTGCGCCTTCGTTGTGTGTTGAGGGCTGGAGACCATTTCGCTATATAACTCGCCTCTACTTCTCTGAGTTCCTCAGAAGGCACGCTGACTAGTGGAATAGCAACATAATGCTCCCACCCTTTAGTTGTCAGCCATCTCCTTAGCTTATGGTTACGTCTAGTAGAAAAACGGTTGACATTCCAGAGTGCTCATCCCATCTCTCAGATATACCCCTGGTAGTAGACCCAATATACGTAGCTTTCCTCCATGGTGAAAGAATGACATACACACAGCCTGTGTAGCACAGCGAACGTGTTCGCACCCCTCCATGTTCGCGCGAACGTGTTCGCGCGTTCGCGCGAACAGGTCGCGAACATGTTCGTGCGAATAGGTCGCGAACATNTTCAAACCACGTTGGACAAATCTGGGCGAGACGAGAAATCCACTCGAGGCTTGTTCATCGATCACCTACGAAGTCCGACGTTGAACACGAAGGTCGCGAACGTTTTTTTTTTCCGTAAAAAATATATATATATATATATATTTTTTTTCGGTTTTTGATTTTTAACTCATGATTGGCTGAGAATTTGAACATGACTCCAAGGCAAAAGTTGCTTGTTTTATTATTTTACATAACATATATTGTTTTCAGAATTTTTTGAGAACTTGTTTTTTTTTTTTTATAATATTTTTTATGTTCGCGTTCGGAGGGTTTTGGGCGCTTGTTCGCGTTCGGGCGAACATGTTTGCGTTCTCCTCCAAACGCGAACACGGTGCTACGTAGCACACAACATCCATTCCCTTCACATATATCA